ATCTGCCAAGTGACCCTATGTAGGGGGAACAGTCTCTATTCTGCTCTGTGTCAGTGTGTATCATGGTCCCTGAGGACAGGTGTCAATCCATATCTGCCGAGTGACCCTATGTAGGGGAGACAGTCTCTATTCTGCTCTGTGTCAGTGTGTATCATGATCTCTGAGGACAGGTGTCAATCCATATCTGCCAAGTGACCCTATGTAGGAGGAACAGTCTCTATTCTGCTCTGTGTCAGTGTGTATCAAGGGCTCTGAGGACAGGTGTCAATCCATATCTGCCAAGTGACCCTATGTTGGGGTAACATTCCCTATTCTGCTCTGTGTCAGTGTGTATCAGGGGCTCTGAGGACAGGTGTCAATCCATATCTGCCAAGTGACCCTATATAGGGGGAAGAGTCTCTATTCTGCTCTGTGTCAGTGTGTATCATGGTCCCTGAGGACAGGTGTCAATCCCTATCTGCCAAGTGACCCTATGTAGGGGGAACAGTCTCTATTCTGCTCTGTGTCCGTGTGCATCAGGGGCTCCGAGGACAGAGTGTCAATCCATATCCAAGGTGTCAATATGTCATATGTCAGGTGTCAATCCATATTCATTGTGATTTAGGAATGTTAGGTGATTTCTGCCCTTTTATGGATTAAAACCAGACTCTGTATCCAACTGTGTAATTTTCCATGGGAGTTTTGCCATGGATCCCCCTCCGCATGCCACAGTCCAGGTGTTAGTCCCCTTGAAACAACTTTTCCATCCCTATTGTGGCCAGAAAGAGTCCCTGTGTGTTTTAAAATTCGCCTGCCCATTGAAGTCTATGGTGGTTCGCGCGGTTCGCGAACATTTGCGGAAGTTCGCGTTCGACGTTCGCAAACCGAAAATTTCGGGTTCGCGACATCACTATTTGTAGATAATCTCTTAATACATTGTTTATAAAATCCTGGAAGACTGCAGGGGCGTTGCATAGGCTGAAGGGCATAAGCCTGTCTTGGTAATGGCCATAACGAGTGTTGAAAGCAGTCTTCCACTCATGTTCTTTCTGAATTCTAACTTAATTGTACGCTCCCCGTAAATCCAACTTAGCGAATATGGTTGCTCCCTTCAACCTGTCGAAAAGCTCAGTTATTAGATGTATAGGATAAGCGTTTCGTATGGTTATTTTGTTTAAACCCCGATAGTCGATACAAACTATCTCAAATCTCCCTCCCTTTTAGAGACAAAGAAAAAAACGGCCCCAGCCGGGGAGGAAGACTTGGTAATAAAACCCTTTCTTAAGTTCTCTGTGATGTACTCTTCTAGTACTTTATTTTCAGCCACAGAGAGGGGATACACGGTACCCCTGGGGGGCATAGTACCAGGTAACAAGTCAATAGCACAGTCGTATGAATGATGGGGTGGTAACTTTTTTGTCTCCCTTGGTTCAAAGACTGCCTTGAGATCCAAATATTGTTTAGGTATTTGGGTGGTTAAGGGTTCCATAGTAGGAACATTAAGTAGACCTACAGGCTTGACTTGAATAATACGCTCTTTAAAACAAAAATCATCCCATTTTACAATATCTTTTCTCTCCCAGTCTATCTAGCCCTAGAATCTATTAACGCAATGGTTGTTACTTTCTTTTCCTCCCATTTGATAATTACTGGTAGAAGAAGCCTGAGATCTTTTTTGTCATTGAAGGAGGACATACACATTACACCCAAGGCCTGTCCTCCTAGAGGGCTTAGGTGCTGGAGTTTTCTGGCCTGCTTGGACAGGTTAAGTGGGAATGCACTCTCTTCCCACAATACATATAAAGTCCCTCCCTTCGTCTATATAGTCTCTCGGTCTCAGACAACCACGTGGTTCCCAATTGCATTGGTTCTGCGGGAGAGACAGTGGTTGCCTCAGACGAAGGGAAGGTTAAGGCCAGGCGTTCCGGCACACGTCTAGGTCTATCCCTGGTGTTTTGCCTGTGCCAGAGACGTTCATCAATATGAGCTAAGTAGGTGATTAATTATTCTAACACATTAGATAGATCTCTGGTAGCCACTTAAACTAAAAGCTTATCAGAAAGTCCATTCATGAACACATCCACAAAAGCCTGCTCATTCCATCTAACCTCAGCAGCATGAGTGCGGAATTCTAGGTCATAGTCGACCAGAGAACGAGACCCCTGTCTTATTCGTCATAGGGTTTTGGCGGCATTAGTTCATCTCCCAGGGGGATCAAAAGTTCTCCTAAAGGCCGCGACGAACTCCGCATAGTTGAAAACTATGGGATTGTCGTTTTCCCACAAAGGATTAGACCAAACTAATGCTCTATCAACTAACAAGGTTATTATGTAACCAATCTTTGATCTATCGGTAGGATGAAGCTCAAAATGAATGCTGACCTGGTTTAGGAAACCACGGCATCCTTTGGGATCACCCCCATAATGAAGAGGGGATGTAGCATGTTTAGAAGCACCCCCTGCAACCATTTCCATATGAAGTTCCTGGGGTCTATGACCAGGGCTATGCTCCTCCGGCTGAAGATGGGCAGTACGAGCTAACAAGGTTTGAACAGCGACAGCGAACTGGTCCATGCGATGGTCCAGCTCCTCAAACCGGTTATCAGGAACCAGCCTATGAGGGTTAACACCTGCAGGGTCCATGGCCCTAGTCTAATGTCACGACAGTGACCTCTGCACGCAGAGAGTAACCCAGAAAGAGACGTATACCAGACCTTAGGGTGGCCAGGCTCAACGTCAAAGAGATAGCCAGAGGTCGAGGGAATACAGAAATCTGAATACACGAGAAATAACCAAGCCAATAATAGGGGAACCAGAGAGGAGAGGGGTCAGTAAGGAAAGCCAAGAGTCAAAATACCAGAAAACAGACAAAAATCGCAAGAGCACTAGAGGGAACACACACTAGTGCACTGAAGAAATGACATGGGCGCCCTTTTATAGTGAGGTG